TGGTGAAGACTATATTGTTTAAAGTTTGTAAGTTTGGTATTGTACTTTGGAGTAATTGAAATAAAGTTTGATTGTTTATATGAGATATCAAATTAATTTAATCTCTACTATCAGCAATACCCTTTAAAATATTTGGGTGTTACATAATCTCTTATCAATTGTTTGGAATAAGAGTGTTCGGTCTCTACAGTGCTCGGTCTTAGACTAGCACTCGACCTCTTTAATGTTAGTATCATATTAAAAGCTAAGTATAAATAGCGTTCAGTTTCTTCATCGTACCCCGTCCGTCACTAGTATTTGGTGTCAAACAGTATCGGTCTCTAAATGGTTTTCGGCCTAGAGTCTTAGTACTCGGTTTAGGCTTCGTAGCGTTCGGTTTAAACTCTCAAGGGCCAGTTCAATGAAATGGCTCACCTATTAAATAACTTTTAGTTCGGTTAATTACTATGGAATGTTATTCCTTTCGTTTTCTTTCATAACTCTGATAATAACTCCTTTGGTTCTGATCTGTTTGTGAGCTGAAGACCTCTCGGTCTCACTCCTAGTGTTCGTTCTCGTTTCTATGTGGAAGGTTATTTTTCAGTATTTGGTGACATATAGGATCTTTGTTCCAATGGGTTCAGTTTGATGTTTGGATAATGAAATATGATGGAATGTGATATGGATAAAATGAGTATGGTTATGTAAAAGTATTCCAGGGAGGAATATCTCATGAATTGGTATTTGAATGGTAAAGTATGAATGTAGACAAGGCTTAGCTGGCGTTTATCCTGATATTCTGTGATTACTCATTCTCAAGTAGAGAGGAGTAATTCATGTGTGAGAATGACAGGAGGTCCTAGTCCATAAGGTTAAATTGGACGGAACAGACTAACCTCGGGTGACAGCTGTTGAGGGTATCCCAGTTACTACATCACCCGGGTGCATAGACGTCGTAGCTACATAGAATTCATACAGTCCGGACGGTTAGAGTCAAATGTTGGTTTATTGCATGTAATAAGGAATGATTCATTTGGTGAAATTGATTGGTATAGAACTTATGTGATCTGAATATGTATGATTTTTGAAATAAATTACATAAGCTTACCCTTTTTCCGTCTTGTCTATTTCGTTTTTTTGTCTTTCTTTGTTCCTGTTGCAATGATCATCCGTGTGGATGTGAGTAGAAGGAGGAGTGTTGCTGTAAGAATCATCGTTAGAAGTAGAAGTTAAGACTGAACTTTAGATCGTTCGCTCATCTGTTTACTGAATCTTGTATATGACCGATCGGTATAAGAGAACCGTTCGGTTATTACTGTAGTTTCTATTTTATTTGTATTGTAAAACCGTTCGGTGACTATGTAAGGTCGTTCGGCAATAATCGTACCTCTTTTATATGTGAAACTGATCTGTAATATTATGAATGCGTGATTATTCTATTATATGGTTTTGTACTGTATTTTTTGGATGTCACAAAATTTACTTTATTTACTCTTTGAATTTGAAATCTTATAATTGTTTCATTTATTTATTATTCACAGAATTCGAATATTTCATGTATTTTCTTCAGTGTTAATTACATTTTTATGTTCAATTAATTTTCTTAATGAAATAGTTTTTAAATTTTATATATATGATTATTTCTACTAATTTTTTTTTACTTTTGTTTATTATTTTTTTCACACGAGGATATATGTTTATCTGAATTTCAAATTCTCAATCTTCAACCCTTCGTTTGCTATATAATATAAAAAATTATTTACTTTACTTTTTTTATTCAACTTTTTTTATTTAAAAAACTTTTGTTTCATTCAAACAATTTTAATTATCTTATCAGTTTAACGAGTTTGATATTTGAAAATGATTTTGAAATTTTTAAGATTCATTATATTTTATTATATCTTTAAATAATTTATAAGATACATATATAATCATTTTTACTTCTTTTTAATATTCTTATTTATTTTGTTTTCTTTTAAATATTGTTTTAATTGTTTTTAATATAAATATAATTTTACCACCGCAATATAACAACATAATTCTTATTTGGCACCTTGATTTAAACTTTAAACAATTATAAATTTTTTTCTAAATTTTGACATTAAATATATTATTTTAATATTAAATATTTGATAATATTATATTTTTATAATTTTTATAAAAATTAATTAATATTGAAATAGTAAGAAATCATATACATAAATTTGGATGTATCTATTATATCGAGAACCACTAGTGCAGAAAGAGCTTTAGATGTATGTTATTTTAGGTTTTTAACGTCATATCTCGATCCGACGTCTTTATGGGTGACGTTAATGGGATGTCGGACTCCACAGGTCCGATGTCTTTATAGACGTCGGACATGCATTAACTGACGTCTAAGGACACTATAGACGTCAAACACTAGCATTAACCGACGTCTACTGCAGCTCGTGTCTTTGGGTAGCGTAGTAGCACCTTCTTCCTTTGCTAGTTTCCTCATAGAAAAGGTTGCGTCTTTTGGACATCTTATGACATTTCAACCGAAAACCGGATCTGGGTCCTTGCCTGGTTCCATTCCAACCGGCAATGAAAACAAATACGGTGACATGAGAGTTAGGCAAAGACCCAGGTTCGGTTTTGGGTTGAAACGCTATAAGACATCCAAAAGACGCAAGTTTTTCTTACGAGGAAACTAGCTAAGGGAGAATGTGCTACTACGCTACCCAAAGACACGAGAAAAACTGCATCAAAACACAATGAAAACTCATTTTAATCGGTTCAAATGGAAGATAATCCATCAAAGACTAATTTAATTGGAGTAAAAGTAAGTTTAAACAGTTCAAAAGAGACAAAAACGCACTGGAAATGCAATGTCAAAGAGAGAAAAGGCGAGAAGGAAAACGATGAAGTGCGTGTAACCACAAGTTCGATTTCTGATTTAACAACAAACAAGACATCAGACACAGAGGGCACCGACATCCATTCTCGCCTAGACGTCGGAGCCCTAACTAATATGACGTCCAAAACAACTTTTCACCTACCTTGTCAGGCCATTTAGACGTCGGATGACAGAATCAAACGTCTATATGGCGTAAAAAAAGAACTTTTCATCTACTTGTCAAACATATACATGTGTGTTAGGAGGTTCACCGACGTCTATAATCGTATATAGACGTCGGGGTGGCTGGATCGGATGTCTATATGGCAGAAAAAAAGAACTTTTCATCTACTTGTCAGAGGACGTCGGTGCCCCTCCTAACCGACGTCGATGTGTCCAACTTATTTACGAACATGCCACCGGTCAATAATTTACATTGATTATTTTGTGGTCCGACGTCTACTAGGTGACGTTAAAGGCCAATTCCGTACTAGTGAATAATGATGAAATATAATTTTTGTTAGAATACAAAATCCAACATTAAATAAAAGAAGAGATAATTATAAATTTATGTATACATAACTTACATTTATTATAACATACATTGATAAAGAGTTTTTAGAATGATACTAAAAACAATCCATAAGAACTTGACTAAAAAATTATAGATGTAAAAAATAATGTTTAACCATATAAATAAAATTATTAAACTTAATATAGTTGAATTAAGAGAATACAATGTTAATTATTAAACTTACATATTTGTCTTTAAATAGGGCTGATGCATAGTGTTGAACTGCATTTATAAGTCCCATACCGCCTGGATCATAGAAGAGTCCCTCTTAAGCTTATTATAAAAAGAATTTTCCTTCTCTTTAACTCTTATACCTTTCTCGGCCTTTTGGCTAAGATCAAGTGTACTATCTGTTCTTATCAGTTTAATATCTGATACAAGTGTTGCTCAAGTCTTGCACTATTGTTGGCACACCCTACCAATTTAAGTCTATCATTTATGGGTCCTCCTTCTCTATAAATTTGGATTGACCGTTTTGTATTTAAACTAACAGCAGAATTGGCCCAAATATTATGATTGTGAAAAATAATGTTTAATCACATAAATAAAATTATTAAACTTTAAAATAGTTGAATTAAAAGAATAATAGGATCATTAAATTTATAATTACTAGTAAAAATGCATGTGTTACATTAAGTGACGTGAGTCCATTTTTTTTTTATAATAAAAGATAATAAAATTATTATTATTATTATAAAATTAAATATACATCTTTTTATGATTTTATTATAAATAGTTTTTATTTATTTGTACTCAATTTTTTAATTAAAATATAATTAAGTTTAAAAAATGATAAAATAGAGAAAAGTTAAATTTAAAATAAGTCACTTAAAGAGAAAATTTAATAAAATAATTAATTACTTTTTATAAAATTGAAAAATAAATGTTAACACCAAAACAAAACTTCTTTATTTATATGTAAAAGATTATATCATAAATAATTCTTTTTAAGTAAAATAAGTATTAATATATTTTATTGTTAAGATAATGATAAAATATTATAACTTTAAGATAAAAACTAATTTGATTATTTTTATTTAATGTGTTAATAGTTGGGATTAAATATGTATTTTAGTATTTAATAATTTGTGTTTGATTATTAAAGAAAAAGTTAATATTAATATTTAATTAATTTTGTTTTTTTTAATTCTTAAATTTGATTTTTTTTAAATAAATATATATGACAACTATTAAAGACTAAATATATACTAAATCTACTAATTAATAAACTTCAAATAAAACTAAGGTAATTAAAGTTATTATATTAATACTGTATTTTCTTTTTATTGTATTAATAACAAAATATCTTAAGTCATTGTATTAAACAAACAATTTACCAATAAACTTACATTTTTAACATGGAAAATAATTTATTTTATCATCGTACTATTAATGTTTTAAGAGATAATATTTTGGAGAGAAAGAAACTTATGTTTTGTTTGTTTTTATAGGTGGATTTAAGAGTGACAAATTACTCTTTGAAGACGCCTCTCTTTCTTTTTTTTCTTCATTACTCAAAGTTGAACGGTAGCAATCAAGAAACAATTGATGTAAAAACTAGATTGAAATTTGTTTAAGTTTTCACGTTAATTATTGAGATGAAGTTATGTTTAAAATTCACTTAGTAAACAGTGAAGTA